ACCGAATCTCTGGCCAGTAGACAGTTTTGCCTTCGGGCGTTTCGGACTTCCACTGGATAGGTCTTCGAGAGGGAGTTCCAGTTGACCTAGGGTCGTGGTGTGTGATCCGAATAGGAGCACACTAGGAAGTCTCGGGTGTATGCGGATGGGAGGGGTACCTTGTTTGGATGTTCTTGGAACACGCCTTGGATGAGACCCGTAGGCTTATACGCTGAGCCATTAGGCAGGACATTGTGTGGTATCGGTAGCTACCATTCCAGCTTCGTCGTATTTTGTATCCCTATATTCCCCAGTTTCTCTAAATCCCTTACTATATCCCATTTTTCAAGATGTTATTGTATATTATTTATATGCATCGAAGTGAGCCATTGGACGGAGTTTTCTCCAGAACCTCTGGGTTACTGAGATATATTCGTATATCTCACCCCGTCTTGGGGGCTTTATTTCAGGAGGTAGCAGTGGCATAGGAGCGGCGGGCAAGAGGCCCGTAGGATGAGTGTTGGAGGACATTTTTATATTTTGCATTTTGATGGCCATTGGGTCTAGGCTAGACTTAGGGCATGAACATTCCATATGTATGTAGGAGGAGATTCATAGTCATATTTGTTCATGTCATTTTTCCTAAGTCTAGTTGTATATGTCATTTAAGCTTTATGTTTCAAGTTGTAATTTAAAGTTATGAATTTATAAGTTGTAATATGTAATTGAGATGTTGTAATTGTACAATGAATACTTGATGTAATACGAGAGAAGGGCTTTAGGCCTATTTTAGGATTATGATTATGCGTATGTTTAGATAATGCATGTAAATGGACATTGGTGATTGAAATAAGTCAAGGATTAATAAAGTGAGCAATATGGTATGAATTGTGTAATAACTATAAACTTAGTTGGGTTGTAAGTGCTCCAAGGTGTTGTTGGTCCTTGTGTGTGCCACCCATTGGTTATTAGGTACAGTTGAGGTATTAGAAAGCATTTGCAAATTTGGGGATTTTGTAAAAACAAAAGAAACTCTGGCGAAATTTCTAGAAATTGGCATATTTTAGATGAACTTCGGGAGAGCATATCTCCCTCCACAGAAGCCCGATAGGGACGTGCCATACGCCATTTTGAAGGTTGAGATGTCCTTTCCTTGTGGTAAAATTTGGTAAAATTCTGGGTTGAGCGCCGTCCTGTACGAGACTGTAAACGCAGACTGCCCATTTGCTTACTGCACATGTGGTAGTTCTGGTCTGGTTTTGGGAAATTAATTCCCGCTTCGTTTCTTAGTCAAATTAAGTGTATGATATATCAAATTGAAGCTTGAGGTGTCTAGTTTGTTTTATAAAATTTGAGAGCAATTGGTTTAGTGTATTTCCTGAAGTAATTCGTTGAATGAGGGATGTTTGGTGCTATTTTGGGGTTGGTTGGCAGTTTTGCTTGTCCAACTTCGAACGACGATATCTGGAGCAAACGAGATCAAAATACCTCATGTGATGGCTCATTAGAAAGGTAATTAAGTCCCGTAAACGATACTAAAAGATGAGACAAACACGAAGAAAAATGAGAGGATATAAATAAATATACCGAACCACGTTCGGATAGGTAGAAAACGTAAGATTGAGAAATTGGCTAAGTGGGTTTATGGGAACCCCTTAGTGACTTGTTGTAACTAAAATAAGTTATAAAAGTAGTCTAAATAAGTATTCCGCAAAGAGTTTACAGTTACGGTCACAGCTTTTAATTATTACGCTTTTTTTTGTTTTAAATGCTCGCGTAATAAACGAAAAAAGTTTACTCTCATTTTTATAAATGAATTGTTGTGATTGTAACTGCGCTTAATATCATAATCAATGTTAACAATACCAGTGTACAACGGGCTGTTACATAGTTGCTGTTGTATGTATTCCTTAGATGAATTGACTAGTCCGATATGATTTTAATAGCAATGTAAAAACTATTTTAGTATTTTTTTCGAGTTTGTTTTTCCTAAATATATGCGATTTTTTGGAAAGGTAAGTAAAATGCATTTGCTTTGATGATTATTATTGGGCTTGTATTAATCCACATATCACATTTGCATAAGGACTCATTTTTGGGTCAGTCTATATTTAAAACACATGATAACAGGAAAAGTTTCTGATCTTAAGTTTAACTTGACATATTGACTACACAACATAAAAACATATAATTTTCTCCAAAGTGAAGTACTTTGATTTCTTTAAAATGGCCTCACAAAATGTGAAAACAAAATTTAAAGCGTAATTTCCTTTGATTTTAGATCATTAAATAAAGAATTCTATGACTTATTTTGGTTCGAAAAAAACTTGGAGGCTTCTGGTTTTAAACGCTCTTATAGTATCATTGTTGCATATTCAAACTGTGTTTGTGAGAGATAAAATATGTCAAATGACGTGTCATTGCGTAGATCTCGAAAAGTTATATGGAATCAAAAATAAATTACCTAATTCGGACACCCGAGTCAAAAGTTATGGCCTTTCGAAGTTTTACGGATAAACTATTGAATTTTTTGTGCCACGTATCAATGCCATATGAGTCATGTCTAACTTAAGCGTGAATGCCTCGTGGGTCATGCCTAACTTAGGTATTAATGGTTATGCCCAAGTTGAGCGTGAATGAGTGTAATAGATCCATAAATTGATTCAAAATAGCTATATTTTCGTAATTATTTATTAAAACAACAATATTTTAATTTTTCCACCATGAACTCAAAATTAATGTTAAATTATTTTTTTCATACTTTTTAATTCTTCTTAGTCGAAGGTACTACTACTATTCAGTGTTTAAAAACTCGACCTGGCGATTGACCCGACCGAGGTCAAGGGTCACGGGTTCAATCGGGGGGTCACAAGGTCACTTCGCTTACCCGATTTTATACGTTCAAAAATATAAATATATATCCTATATGAAAAATTCAAAAAAATCAAACCACCAATCATCATAAATTCAAAATATACTTAACATAATTCAACAAATTACATCCACAAGTCAATATTACACAAGCTAATTAAAGTATTAAACTATCAAAGTATAAAACATATATTTCAATAGAGTTAATGAAAAGTTATATCATCAAACTCAGGTCCTCCTTGTCCTTTTCACGCACTTACAACAGCATGTGAAAGGAGATCCCTTACCCAAGAAAAAATTTCGAAGGAAATGCGGCAACACGTCAAATCAACTGTAGGGAGAGAAGAACCAGCACAACAAAGGGGAGGGAGAGAGAAGACAGAAAAGGATATGAGGAACCACCACCACGTCATAGGAGATTACCAAATCAGGGAGACTGAGTCTAAGTTTGGGAGAGAAGAAGAAAAACGATTCAATTTTCAGATCTAGTTCTAGATATAGGCAACAACGAGTTTTTTTTTTATTTTCACACACCAAGCGACGTCTTTTCGTGTGTATATATTTTTTTTAAAAAATGCAATGAGTGACCCCCTCTGACCCAGTAGTCACGAGTTCAACTTAAGGGTTTCAGAGGTGAGATAAGTCAATATGTATGCAGGATCTAACTGCTGACCCCAACCTTTAGAGAGAGGATCAGTGATGTGGCAGGTCAATCCCAAGACAGAATGGGATTTTAAAATACTACTACTGTGCTGAAACGTCTTGGATTTGACTACTTGAAATAGTATTTTAATAGTATATTTAAAGAAATCTGTCTGACTGTGTTAATATTCATTGCATTGTTAAAATAATTTAAATTTCATTTAAAATCGAGCTTAAAAGTCAACCTGCGTTGATATTGATTACAGAAAAAGTGTTTATATAAAATTATATAATTTTAAATGAGAAAAAGAGATAGATTATAGAAGAGAGAGTGGACAAAAAAAATATAGGTATGATCTCACTTTTTTATGAGAGTGAAATGATTAAAGTTGTGTCATTTAAAAGTACAAATATTTTTTTCTATTAATTATATTATTTTGTTATTTCTAATTCTATTGGTTTTTTTTTTTTTTTTTTTGTAATGATTATATTGGGTTTTTAAGGTTAGTGAATTAACAATTAATATTAGGATCTGATTAATGAGTGTGCTTTATGTTAAAGAATATTTAATGTTTTTATTGAATATTTTAAATTATTAAAAAATAATAATAATAAATGGTCTTTATGTTTGTAATTAATGTAGCAAATCTTTTTTTTTCCATTAAAGTGAACTTCTTAATATTAAGTATTCAATTCGACGAAGGCGTAAGACCAAACCAACGGTACAAATATAAAATGAATAAAAAAAAGCATTTAATAGTTCTGGAGTTAAAAAATATTTAATTTTTTATTAGTTTAGTCAATGTGTAACGCTAGAAAATTATTAAACAATAATAAAATTAACTTTTTATTTTTTATTTTTGAGTTTCCAAATTAAACAATTCAACCTCCTTACTAAACTATTAAATGCTAGTGAACGCATTTTGAATTTTCAACTTATTCAACTCGTTTATGTTTTATTTAATAACTTTATTTTAAATTTTTTTCTCAAAAGGCAACAAAATCTATACCTTTTTATTATTTTTTATTCTTTTTCTATTTATAAAGATTACGAATCTCATTAATTAGAAAGATTTTAATTATACATTAATGTGATAATCACATTAAATGAATAGACATAAATATTTATGTACAGAGAATTTAATGTTCTTAATGGATTCAAGAGGGTTTTTTTACCATTTTATCCTTTATTAAATCTTCAAGTCAATCATTTTTGTCAGTTTTGACTATTTAATCGATTAAATCTTCAAGGTAATCGATTAAAGAGGGACAGATTGGTAGATAGTTTCGAATAAAGGACAAAATAATTATTAATTAATTAATAAAGGGTAAAAGAGTCAAAAAAAACCGATGCAAGAGTCCTATATGTGACTGGGACTGATTCAGCTGTTATATATACATGTTGAATTATAGTGAGATGCATCACTCTTAATATTAGCATAGTTCTGTTCCTATTTCTTACAAATTGTTCTTTTCTTTCACATACACAGACAAATTATAGATACAGGATGAATCATATAATCAGCTATTGGCTTTTTATGATAGCCTCAGCGTGGATGAGTTTGACAGTGACTGTGTTGGAGGGTGTGCGTCCTATACCTAATCAACAGTCACTAGAGGTCCATGGATATGGTAACGCTACAACAGGAAAGAAATGGGCCATATTAGTTGCTGGTTCAAATGAATACGAGAATTATAGGCACCAAGCTGATGTTTGCCATGCCTACCAGATACTAAAGGAAGGTGGCCTTAGAGATGAAAACATCATTGTTTTCATGTACGATGATATTGCCTTCAATCCACAAAATCCAAGGCCTGGCATTATAATCAACAAACCAAATGGGCCAAACGTTTATGATGCAGTTCCCAAGGTATGTATGTATCCATATCTAGCTGGGATTAATTTTAGCAGTTTTTTTTTTTTTTTTTTTAAATACTTATATTCATGATATTGCAATAATTTTAACAATTCACCATGAATATTCTATGAGAAAATAATTTATCATGTTTTAGGAGAATTATTTTCTCCTACCAGTGATCCTTTAATTTTCGTACAATAATTTTTTTGGTTTTCTTTATTTTTTATTAGATGTAGGCCCCTCACAAGATGTATCTATTACATGAGAAAATTTTTTTCTATCGCATAAGAATATTGAAACCCATATTTTATTTATAAAAATATATGGATCTTCTCCTCCATTCCTTAATTGAAATATATTTTATGTCTACTTTTCTTCATATATATATATATATATATATATATATATATATATATATTGATTGATTGACCCTACTTATTTAATTCTTGTGAAGAGAAAGGAATAGATCCAAAATTTACATAAGAGATCATTCATTTTCTTCATTGGCAAGGTCAAAACTTTAACAAAAGACCTTATAAAATAAAATAAAAATGGTCATTTTAATTAATTGTTGATGGTTGATCAGTTAATGCATGAGTTAGATTTCTTACATGATGTAATTATGTTCGGATGAGACATGAGAACATACATTTTTCATAAAAAATATGGCATTGATTCTTTGTGATACTTTAGTCTTTATAAATGATATAACTAATAAATTATCATTTTAACGCAAAGAAATGTAATAAACTTTTTTTTTAGGATTATACTGGAGAGGACGTACACGCAGACAACTTTTTTGCCGTACTTAGTGGCAACCGGAGTGCTGTGACCGGAGGTAGTGGTAAAGTGTTGGAGAGTGGTCCAAATGACATCATTTTCATTTACTATGTGGACCATGGCAGTGCAGGCGTAGTCGGTTAGTAACTCATTTTTTTTAAAGGGGTGTTTGTTACAGAAAAAAAAAAATTTACTAAGGAAATATAATTGAGAAAATGAGTTTAGTGGAACAGTTTAAAAATAATTATTTTGTTGGCCAAAATATTACTTGAAAAATTGGTTTTAGTTTATAAAGTCTATGTTTGATTGAAGGTAAAATATAGGTAAGAAAATATGGTTAAATTACCACAACAATCCTTGAGTAAAATATGATTTTAGTTTACTAAATAATTTTCTCCAACATCAGGGTTATTTTGGTCTTCTTGCTTGAAGTTTTTTTTTTTTTTTATAACAGTTTTTTTTTTTTTTTTAATTTCCCCAGCTATCAACAAATACAACCTTGTAGATGGTTTTATTCAATAGTGTTTTTTACACACACACAAAAAATATACAGGGCAAATAATTTTTCTAATAATTTTTTTATAAAACCTGATACCAAACATGGACATATAAAAATACCACTTCCATTTACCAAGATATTTTTAACAAAAACTTGTATCAAATACATCCTGAAAGTTTCCTTATAGCATACATTGTTGATAGTTTTTTCCCCTTAAAACACAAATAATTTATGGGTAAAGGATTTTTTTGGTAAACGGAGATAAGTTATCTTCGGTGAGTCTAAAACAACGTTATTTTGGGACAGAAATAAAAGTGTTTTTGTAATTATAATATATTGTAGAGTTATATTAGTTTTTATTATTCTGAGTTTTTTAATCTTATATAACCTCGAAACAGCGTCATTGAAGATATTATTATATCCAGTAAAAAAAATTTCCGATAATTTATCCACAAAATATGTTGATAGATTTTTCAATATTCCAATTATTTAATTGGGCAAATGCTATTTGATCAGGCATGCCAAATCCTCCAGCCATTGTGGCCAAAGATCTAGTAGATGCGTTGAAGAAGAAATATGCCTCTAAATCCTACAAAAAGATGGTGAGTTTCCTTGAACCTTGTGTTATGAACAAAATTAATAGATTAATTTGTTAGAGGGTTTGAACCTTGTGTCCATCTCTCTTTTAAAATGATATAACTTTGTGTCATTTAGAATGATAAATATTTTGTTATCAAAAAAAAAAAAAATGATAAACATTTTTTCCTTTTGTTAAAATGATATTATACCATTACCTTAAATAAATAAGGATCTTAACTTTACTATTATAATTAAATAAGGACCTTAACTTTAATTAAAAATAATTTGACACGGTTTGTCAATTGGAAAGAAAAATGTCATATATACGTGTGTTTTGTTCATTTATAAAATATTCAAAGTCAAGTTGATTTTAGTTTTTCCTTTTATTTTTTAACAAAATTAAGATACCTAATTAATAATCCCTTAATTAGTTTTCATAAAAATAACTTTAGAGCTGGAATAATAATTTAGGAACATTAATATTATCACAATCATAAATGCAGCACATTAATTTTTTCAAAGTAACATTCATAAAAAATATTAGTTTTACATCTCTATGTGACACATAACTTCACGGTGGCATATATATGTGGCAGAATTAGTGAGAAAATGTCTAAGAATTTCGTTGAGACCAATCATAATCTTTATAAAACTGTGTCAATATAAATAATATGACGTGTGCCTAAGTGTGTAGAGATATATACTCAATGTTCATTAGGTACCTCAACTTTATTATGATAATCAATAAAGATTTTAACTTTAAACTCAATAAAAAAGAACTTCAACTTTACTTTCATAATAGGACCTCCGCTTTAATATAAGTATTTAGCCATGGGTTGAAGAGAAAATTATAAATCAAATATATATGCAGATGTTTTGCTTATGTTGTAAATTATTCATAAGTTGATTTCCTTCTTTCTACTTTTCAACATAATCGAATATTTTTTTTTTTAAATAAAGTTCACAGTACCCTTAATTAATCATAATAAATGTTCAGTCCTTTAATTAATTTTTCATAAGAAAAATCAAGTGCTCAGATGATAATTCAGCTTAACTTTTTCAGGATATTTAAATTGAAGCATTATTTAATTTTTTTTAATTTTTTTTTTTTTAAAAAAAGGTTATATACATGGAAGCTTGTGAAGCTGGGAGCATGTTTGAAGGGCTTCTTCCAGATGATATAAACATATATGTAACCACGGCTTCCAATGCACGTGAGAATAGCTTTGCATTTTACTGTCCTGGAACCAACCATGCTCCAGCCCCGGAGTATGATACTTGTTTGGGAGACCTTTATAGCATTTCATGGTTGGAAGACAGGTATCATTTAATCGTCAACTAATCTTCATCATTGGCATATATATATTCATCTTTGTTGGCTTTCTTAGTTCTTTTTTTTTTCTTTTTTTTTTTTGGTAAACGGCTTTCTTAGTTCTTTAATAGGAGGGATGTTGAGTGGCAGTGGCCTTTTTAAATCTTTGATTTATTATTATTATTATAGATATAAAACATTATTTTTATAATAATAATAAATTATTAGTCCTAATTATAAACATCTTCCTCAAAAATACTTGTAATAGTTAATATATTAGTCTTAATATTTTTAAATTTGTAATTTTATTTTCACTTCTTATCATAAAAAATCATAATTCATCCACTGTTTATACATGAATTGTTGTTTATCAATAAATCATGTACATTAAATAAGTAAGAGTAAATACTTTTTTTGGTCCTCAGCAAATTTTATGATACCTGCTTTAGTCCCTAGCAAATAAAAAGGCTATCGTGGTCTTTAAGAAATTCAAAGTGGACCCATTTAAGTCCTTTTGAGGGACTAATATGAGTCTTTTTTATATTTCTTGAATAGCACGAATAACTTTTTTATTTGCTAGTGACTAAAGCGATCATTGTGAAATTTGCTCAGAGTAACAAGGGGTATTTACTCACTAAGTGACTTGCATATGATCAGTGACAAAAGCGATCAATGCAAACTATTAGTTTTAAGGGGGAAAAAAGTTCGAGAGTTGCATCTTTATCCATTATTCGCATGTTACTTGTCTATATTGATTGAGTTTTTGGTTATGGTACAGTGACAAAAACGACATGACGAAAGAAACTTTGCAACAACAATATGAAACTGTAAGCCATTAATTCAACTGTATCCTTCCCTCACTATATGAATGTATTTGGTACACACACATATATATATAATGCTTATCAAATATAAATATTCTTGCGAGTAATGTATAGGTTCGCCGGAGAACGTTAACTGGTGGTGGAGAAAGTGACAGTTCTCATGTGATGCAATATGGAGATACAAAGTTCAAGAACGATTTTCTTGTTACCTATATTGGTGCAGACCTCGCCAATGTTCATAAAACCTACAACTTCACAAGCATGGCAAATTCATATATATCTGAACCGTCCACTACTCCAACAAGATTCGTCAACCAACAAGATGCTCATTTACTCCATCTTAGCCTCAAGGTAAAAAAATGAGTAAATACCTTCTTGATCCTCAACAAATTTTACAATACCCGTTTTAGTCCCTAACAAATAAAAAGACTATTCGTGGTCCCTAAGAAATTTAAAGTGGACCCATTTTAGTCCTTTTGAGGGACTAATATAGGTCTTTTTTAAATTTGTGAGGGATCACGATTTCAACTAAATGGGTTCATTTTGAATTTCTTAAGACCATGAATAGCTTTTTTATTTGCTAGGGACTAAAACGGGTATCGTGAAATTTGCTGAGTAACAAAAAAGATATTTACTCTAATTTTTTTTTTTATTCAAGCCAATTTAGGCTGCGTTTGTATTGACTTTTGAATAAAGTCCTTTTTATCACTTCCTTATTTTAAAAGTGCTTTCTATTACAGCTATTTAGATTTTTAAAAAAATATTTGATTTTTGAAAAAATTATTTGACTTTTGACTTCTGCTTTTTTTAAAAGTTAAAATTTTTAGCTTCCGAGAAAAAAGTAAGTTTTTAGCTTTTTTTTATGGCTGCTGCCTTTTTTAAAAGCAGGCGTTCAAACAAACTTTTTTCGATAAGGACTTTTTTTTCTTAAAAAAATGTAGCTTTTGAAGAAGAAAAAAATCCATCCAAACGGGCTTTTAATTTGGTTCGAGTTCGGTTAAGAAAAATAAGTTACTTAATTGTTACTTCAATCAATGATTGTTATAAATTTTTTATTTGGTATCTTGTATAGATACATAAGTTCAAATTAAAAAGAAACACGAAGATTTTAATTTTTTCTTTTCTGTTTTTGTCAGAGCTTGAACATAAAAATTACAAATTTAAGAAGACAATTCTTATTTATATTTTTAATTGATTCAGTTGGAAAAGGCTCTGGATGATTCTGATGAGAAACTAGAAGCTCAAAAAGCGTTAGAAGTTGAACTTGCTCACAGAGACCATGTAGATAACAGTGTCCATCTCATAGGGGATCTCTTGTTTGGTAAAGAGAGTAGCTCCACCAAGATGTTCCATGTTCGTCCAGCAGGGCAACCTCTTGTGGATGATTGGGATTGTTTTAAGACACTTGTAAGTATAATAGCATATATTATTTTTTCCATTTTTATTTTTTTTGGTTATAAGGTGAAATTCTTGGACATATTATGTAACTTAGGTAATTCATTTACAAATGACATGCATAAACGTATTCTTTTGTAAGATGATACATATCATATATTTAAGTAATTATGTTTGCACAAAATTTCACGCAGATGAAAACTTATGAGAACCATTGCGGGAACTTAACAACCTATGGAAGGAAATACACAAGAGCCTTTGCTAACATGTGCAACGCTGGAATTTCTACGGAGCAAATGGTTGCAGCAGCATCGCAAGCTTGTTCATAGGAGAACCGTGCTTCTTAAATTCATCCTCAAGTTAAAAATGTTCTAAGTAATACATTAATGAATAAATTGTGCTTCCATTCTACAAGATGCATTATCCTCCTTCGTTTTAGTTTATCATCCTTGGGAATATAAGATAAATTGAATTATACTAAGCTATGTTACTGGATCAAAGATGAAATCTCTGCGGACCCAAATGACCAACATATTCTAGACTTACTTTTTTTTTTTTTTTTGTAATATATTCTAGACTTACTTTAATTGAACCTGAGCTCCACAATCTCTAGTACTTAATTTCAATCTTGCAAGGTGATGTAACCCGCTTGAGAGTTTCAAAGAGTTCCACAAATGGTCATTTCTTCTCTCTTTCAGCGAGTTTCGTTTTATATCGTTATGACTATTGATGTGGTCGAATTCAGTAACTACTGTGGAAAGAAATCAGGGATCAATTAATGAGTTCATTAGTACAACTACACACATCAACTAATAAAGTGGAATATTAGGTCCCAAGTATCATACGTACCCACATCGAAAGTGTATAAATTAGACAACTAAAGCTTGTGTATGGAATTGGTATCGTAAAAGCATCAAGTGCAAAATGTGTACAAGAATAAGGAACAGTTATTAACGAGTAACAAAGAGTGATTCTAATAAAAGAGATTTGTTTTTAGGCTTTCCTTTTTACTTAATTGCTAAAACAACTACTTCAGTCACAAATACGGTGAAATGACATCAAAGAAAGGCTGATTACAATGTATGTTCCCATATTGATATTCCTACTCCATTGCTTAATTTGAATACGTCGAGACAGTTACAAGTCGTGACTCAACTTCAGTGCTCAATGCATAGATTCCTCTCGTACATTAAGACCCTGGAAAGGAAGCTCGATGACCAGATCCCAGTGGATTTGTTGGCGACGCAACATGTTGTGGTAGGTCTGATAACCCTACAAAGTTTTCGTATAATCTCTCTTTGTCTCCACTTAATGTACGTGTCTTGGCTTTAAGCACTTATTTTTTGACTTTTTTTCTTTCTTTTTTTTCACTTTTTTATAGTAGTTGGTTTGGTAACGAGTGTTCCTATTAGTTTCTTCAATTTATTGACCATTTTACATAAAAATCGAATAAACAAAAATAATGATCTACATTGAGGTGGAAATTTTTTTCCTATCTCTGTCCTCCCTTCACCTTTGACTTTTGCATTAAAAAAAAATTGTATTTGATCATGTTACATGACACAAGTAACATCATGTTGTAGAAACAAAGTTGGTGGGGTCTAGTGTTTAAATAAAAAATAAATTAAACAATGGACCCCACTAATTTTATCTCTACAACATGACGTAACTTGTGTCATGTAATATGATGATTATATTTCCCTTATAAAAAAGCATTAGATTGTGTCATGTAACACCTCATAGTACTTCGGTTGTTAACATATATGATATTTAGCATACACAGCGAAAGATTTTATTTTAAAAGAATAATAAAACGTCTTATAAAAATACGAGTAAACTTTTTTCAAAATATTTTCTAAAACATTTTCAAAGCGTTCATCTGATATATTGCATTCGCGTAACCTAAACATCTAAGTTTTCCAATTAAAACCATTGGCCATCATTAGTGGCCGTTGACCATCCGGATATGACCTTAAGTGTCATTCCTGACGGAGTCTCATGAACAACATAACGACTGTATTTCGGATAACTAAGGACATGGGTCCCACACATACAATGCCCTGATAGATACAATAATTTAACAGATAGCTCGCAAGTCCCACACAGACTGCGATCCCCTCTCGGGTCAATACAAACAATAAGGCTCCATGCCCAAATAACGGAAACATACAACAAGTCTATATAAATTTCAAAACGTTTAAGCATCAGTAAATAATCCATGGCTCCAATACAACAGTCATGAGCCTAAATAAATTTGAATTTTGAATTTGAAATTTGAATTTGAATTTAGAATTTAAATGTTTGAACATTTGAATTTAAATGTTTGAACATTTGAATTTAAATGTTTGAATTCGAATTTGAATTGGCTATGAAAAGTTGTTTCATAACAAAAGGATAAGATGAGATCTTGTTGGAACAAATTCCTTGTATCAAGAGAAGATCTATGGAGATCTTCAAAGGCTGATTTGGGGCGCCACTTTGGTTGGAGATGAGTGTCATCTTTTTCAAACAAACAAGCTCTAATCAGATTTGGTTGTTGAGAGAATCAGTGAGCTAGTTGGTTCAAACTTGAATGCAACAGCTCAAAGTATCTGGACCCCTTTTGGGGCTGAAGGGGGCGCATGAATAGGATGGTCATATGATGACCATTAGTTCAGAATCTTGACTAGATAGAGACCTAGTCTCACGAGAATTCAAAGGTAGGTTGTTGGGAATTTTGAATTGCAACAACTCCACCTTTTTCTCCTCTCTTGTGCGCCACTTTCATTGGTTTTTAAGTGAAAATTTTGATTTGATTTCTTTCACTCTCTCACTCTCTTGTGCGCATACTAGGGGTAAGTTCTCCTTAAGGTTTTCAGAAAAAGACCTAGCCAACTCTACTCCAATCCATTCCCCATTCTTGTGAAGTTTTCATGCTGAAGACTTCACTCTTCTAAACACATTTACCTAGCCTCCTTCTTCACCTATTGAGCGCATAGCAAGCCTCTTTGTGGTGGTCAATTGGTGGCTTGACAAGAAGAGTTCTTGCATCTTGACGTGGGTGGTGTGGATCAACGTTAGAGGGTTTGAACCCTTCAAACGTAACACTGATCGTCTTGGAGTTTTGAACTCACAAACAAAGGTAACATCATACTGTCATAAAGCATGATTCTTGATTGCATGTGTGATTCCGCAGAAGAAAAATTTTGTTTTTCCCTCTCACATGCTACGGCCTTCAAGGCCAGTTACTTTCAAGAACCAACCTTTGATCACCATTTTCGAACCTTGGAGAAGTCAGAGCTTGAGGAGCTGTTTGGTGAGCTCCAAGAGCCATTGTACCTTTGTTTTGAGCTTGGGTAAGTTGTACAACCTTTGATCATGAGTTTTAATGGGTAAAAGTGGAGTCTTGCAATGTTTAATAAGATAAACAAGTAACCAACGTGATAACTGACCTAAATGGGCTTAAAGATGCATGTTTTAACGTTTAGGAGTGTTAAAAATGGAACCTTGGAAGTGATATCTCGCAAAATGCAGAAACTGCATTCTACCGCGAGATATCCGGATATTGATATCCGGATATGGGCTCTGTGATATCCGAATATTGATATCCGGATATGGGCTCTGTGATATCCGAATATTGATATTCGGATAGGGGCTCTATGATATCCGGATATGCATATCTGGATATGGTCCCCGACATATATCTGGACATTCTGGGTTTTCGAAGAACAGTAATTGTACTGTTCATACAGAAGGTTGTTTGGGGTTTGTGGACCCTAGATTGATGAAGTGAGACTTCTGTAATAATTGAACTAAGTCAGAATCAAGTGATTAAGGGCTTGTGGCTATGTGAGAAGCCTTAAGACATGAAACGTAAGTGAGAATCGTTGTCTTTATGTTTATGCTTTTGAGCTACGGTTGTTGATATGATTGCTGGTAGATTGTGATTCTGCTGTGTTTGGGCTTTAAGCTTGTGTGGACTCTTGGCTTGGATAGCTAGCTTGCAAGGTAAGCTTTTGTGTCCTCGGTTTAGCCATTGTTTGTTCCACCATGTCCCATGGGGGGATGGTTATATGCATGATGTGTTTTCATGTACTGTTTTATCGAAATGCTATTGAGCTGTTAAGTGCAATTGTTTTATGATATGTATGTGGTGTTTCGCATAGCCAGGAAGCCATGGGGTGGTCCTGGGGGCGGGTATAGCATGGGCGTGTACTGTGTGGATAATAGACATATTCCTGCATTTCTTTGATCAGTAGAATAGTTATAACACACATGACATGATTATCTGATGCATTGCACTGTTTTGGAACTTGTATTGTTTAACTGCTTTTGAAACTTATATTGCACATGTAAGTGAGCTTGGGGTGGAAGATCCTTGAGGACCCCTTGTCTTACTGTGATTTCTGTTTAGAGATCTCACCCCACGTTTGGGGCGCTTATTTCAGGTTCAGGTAATGCGGAGGTTGAGACCTCTAGCGGCAGGAGGCCGGAGCTTAGTTGATTGATATTTATCTGTTATGCTGATTGTGCTGAGATGCTGGATATGCCTGTTGCTATTATGTCTTTAGCTTTACTTTTATGTTGCTGTTGTTGAGACTTGATGTGCTTGTTGCTTTATTTTGCGAGCATGGGGATTGTCCATGCCACATTGATTGACTATGTCCTATCTTAGATTTGAGTTGTGTTAATGTATTAGGATTATGGTTCGGTCTACGTGTTGTAGTTCCGTGACTTAGATACTCACTTTTATTTATATATTGAGGTTATTTCAGTGTAAATAGTTGTTTATTTGCAATTACATACAGGCGATGTTTTATGAAAAGAATTAAGTAATTTACTTGGTAATATTAATGACGTCATATTTGAAAGTAAAAAGTTACTCCGCATTTTAAATTAAGCGTGGCTTAATACGATGACATGTTAACAAACCGGGTATACACTGGGTGTTACATTTTATGGTATCAGAGTAGGGCCTCTCTTTCAGTACGGTGTGGTTCAAAGAAGAACCAGGCGAAAGCTAGTGGGCATGTAACATCTCGGGCGTTGACGAGGGTGGGGAGTGATCGCCGGTGCAAAAGGGCATGGACAAGGAGCGGCTCTTGGCAGGCTTCCAATGACGAGGGTACATAAATGAATCGAATCAACACCGGAAATAGAGGGATTTCAGAGACTGTGCTGGTATGGGACGGTACAGTTGGGAATAGCTTATAAGAATTAATTTGTACTACCTATACTAACAAGATGCATCTACTTTTCGGTAGCCCGGAACGGAAGAACTCCACAGTTAAGCGTGCTTGACTTGGAGCAATTCTGGGATGGGTGACCACCTGGGAAGTTTTCCCAGGAA